TATATATATATATATATTCTCAAAAATATAAATTTTTATAAAAATCCGCACTCTAATCATATTACATTGAATCTTTTTCGTGAATATTTATTTTGTTTATTAAAACGCTATATTTTATTTATTACAATTTGTTTATTTCAATATTTTAATTTAAGATTTTAATAACTTGAAATAAAACTTAACAATATAATATTAATATGATAATAGTAAAAAATTGGAATTAAAATATGTTTGATTAAATCGAAGTTTATAATTATATATATTTTAGTAGCCAAAGTTGAATAATTATACAAAGTACATATTTTTCGCATTTAATATCAGAAATATAGAAAATCTTTTTTATATATGCAGAATAAAATAATTATTATTTTTTTAATCATTTTGAATTGTTCGTTATTTTATCGCTAATTTTACATTAATTTATTGCCGCTGTAGTCATTCTCCATGCTGAATCTATAATATAGAATGTGATACTAAAGGTAAGATAGACATACAAATGAATTTGAAATGCGCGCGCAATAATTTTTACTTTGGTAAAGACTGCAGCGCCAATGAAGCGCCAATGAAATTTCACAATTATGTATCACGATTTTCAAACATAATCGATATTTCTTGCAATCGATTTAATCGATTCAGTATTGAGATGTAACGTAAAATCGTCAGTTCTAGGCGGGAACATGGCAAGAAAGGTAGAAAAAAGCTGCTTATCCAGAAATTGTCAAGAAATTATCAAGAAAACTACCTGTAGACTAGGTTGTATAAATACATCTACAATTTAAAACAATAAGCATCATTTAAAAGAATAATTACAGATATGTGTTCGATCCTGATTGTGATTTGTTACAGGCATTTCCCATCGGATTTAATAGTTTCTACTTGTTAGTGATATTTGCAATGATTTCTTCTGGGCCACAATTACGTATTATATATCGTTCTTCACATCTAAGTTGTAAGTGTAAGTCGCATGTATTTTTATTTCTCTAGATATTTAATTATGACTACTCAAATTATCATAAATCAAGATATAATATATTATATATTATATATATAATATTATAATTATTATGTATTATAATATATAATATACTATATTATTATTATAAGTTCATACATATATTAATTTAAATGAATAATAAAGTAATTTCGTCTAATATAATAATAAATTAATGAAAAATAATGCACCATTTATGTGAATTACTCGAATTATTCATCCTGAATGAATATCTTTTATAATATGAGAAATTCTTTTGAAAGCTAAATTAATATTTGGACAATAATATATGTATAAAATAATCCTGAAATAATTTAAATTAATAAAAATATTTCTAATGTTGATCCGAGATTTCATATATAATTAATATTTATTAATATATAACATTAATATTATAATATTTTCGTACTTTCCAAAGAAATTCTCCTGAATTTCAGAAATCTGTGCAATGTTTAAGTTTTATAAAATAATCATATACGTATATGACTTTTATTACATACAAATACATATATATATATTTTATTATATGCTTATATTTCTATTATAACATTATAGAAATACAAGTTCATTGTTTCTTTAACTTGCGTAATGCGTAATTTTCAACTATTCTAAATACTAAATTCAACAATGGTTTATTAAGAATGTACGTATTTAATAGTTAAAATAATAATTTTACTGCGTAATATAATAAAAGGTTTTATTTCTCAAATAAAGTAAGACTTTGAAGCCTGGAAATCCAGAGTTTAAAACAAAACACAAAGGCATGAACATAATGTTTACATTCACCTTAATTATCGTGCCTGTTCGAACAGGATTAATCCTCTATTACTTCTTCAAGCGTGAAACGTATCGCGGAGCGTCATTCAGTTGTTGAATTTTGTGACAATAGTATATATTACGTCGCATTAGATTCGTAACTTTTTCCTTTTTCCAGCTATCAGTGGCGTTTTTTCTTTGACTCTTTTACTTCGATTTATACCTCATTAATAGCATCATTTAATACGCGTATGTTTAACAATTCATTGAGCATTATGATATCGAAATTGTGTAGTGCTTTGAAACACCACGCCTTCGCATCAATTATTCTTCAGTCGTCGATTTTCCTCGTACGATTACCTGCACATCATCTCGTACATCTTTTTAATAGAATTTGAAGTTGTTTATCATTTTATTTTTATACATTTGCCGTCTTTCGACATATTTGTTTTAACTTTTGATTTCTTTTTGCAGGTCATTTTTTGATCAGAGATAGCATGGACGTCACGACTAAGAATGGACCATTTGATGAAATTCCACGGAAATTTAGTAACATTTTATTTATTTTGGGTAATATTTATTTTGGTATATAATTCATACATATTTGAGGTAGAATTCACAATACGTAATTTCATAATTATTTGGAGTACAAAGATGAAAATACAAAGGATTAAATCAATTAATATTTTATTTCGAATATAGACCAGTTTAATGGTACATGTACACTTTCAAATGAATGTATATTCTTCTATTAGATTATCAAATTCAGTTTTCATTACTTTACTATACTCTATGTACTGTATTATACTCGCTTTCAAATGCTGACGCGCAATTGAAAACCATTCAAAGCAAGATTTCATACGTATTTTTCGTGGTATTGTTTCTTAAATATATTCAGCTGTGAGATTTTGATTTGTGCAAATATTTTCGAATATTTATAACACGTGATGTGATGTATTACTAATGTACATACTACTTACACTAATAACGAACATTCAGAATACAATTTTGGAATACAGTAATTTCATTTATAGTATTCAGTATTAAGAAACACTTTATAATTTACAACTAGTACTTTTAATTTTCATATTCAAGTTCCTTTATTTATTTATTCTAGAAAAATAGCAATACTTTCTAAATGAACATATTTTTCGCCCTCCTCTTACTAATCAGTTTTATTTTCAGAGAATTTTTGTGATCGCGCGCAATGCGATTGGTAGAGTCAGTATTTGTTGCGAAATATTTTATTATTTTTCTGAGCAAAATGGCTCTTATTAAATTAAATAATCAGTTCATTT